CTCAACTTGAAGACTCTAGAAAATAACTTAAAAAAATTTTTTTTAAGCACTTTGCCTGTCAAAGAGAACACAGGAGATGCATTTAGTCCACTGGAATTCAGTTTACACACTCCGGGTGGAGGAGGCCCAGACTCGAACTAGCCCTCACCTTGGCCTTTGCACTCAGAGGTCAAACATTCCTGACATCTCCCCTGTGTCTCTTCAGGGTGGGGTCTGGTTCACATGAACAAGTCTTGAGTGATGCTTGGTGCTTGTTCCAGCTCCTCCAGGCAAAGCGACAATTGTTGTTCTGTTCCTCAGGAGTCGGAGAGAGCCCTTGACAGTGGGGAATAGCCCAAACATTGTGTGGCCTTAGACAATAGCCACAGGTGTCCAAATATTGTTTATAACATTTGTTTTGAAAAGAGTACAATAGCTTTAAATCTTCCTGTTTTAAGTCAGAGCCTCTGGGGTCCCAGCCCATCCAGCCATTGATTCCGAAATCGGCAGTAGGGTTTACGGAAGTTGGCCATATTCCCCTGATGGCGTCTGGACTTCCTAAGGTGAGATGTCCACCTTCCAGGCTGCCCTTTGTACAACAGAGGGAAAGGATTGGGAGTTTCAGATCCTAGAGTCAGACAGTCCTTGGTACAAACCTGACCTGCTGCATACAGGCTGTGACCTTGGACAAGCATCTTCATGTCTTCAAGCCCGGGTTTCCTCATCTGCAAGATGCCGATGCTACCACCCATCTGAAGGTTCGATGAGCTAATAGTTGCAAAACTATCTAGCTGGTGCCTGGCAAACAAAAATAAGTTAATGGATGGGAAGTTCAAGAAGCAGCCCAGGGGATCCTGGGATACAGATGAGTTTGGAGAAATACATGATTAATAAGTATTTCCTTGGGCCTACGGTATGCCAGGCACTGTGCCAGATACAACACCTTGGGCAGTGTCCTGCTTACATGGATGGAGGTGCTGAGGGACTTGGCCACTCAGCGAGGAGGTGAGGAGAGGAGGCAGGGCTTAGGCCAGACAATGTGGCTTCCTCTTGAGCTTGAGAGGTGACTTTAAAATGTCTATTTGCTGAATATTTATTGAGTTGCAAATATTGGAATTCACTAGGGCTAGTTTAAGCAAAATAGGGATTGATTAAACTATCGGAGAGGAGAGAATGCATAGGCTCATTGGGAGGGCAGGAGAAAGACTTGAGGGGAGGCTAAGAACTCAGAACCTCTATGCAGAATTGCCCGGATGGGGCAAGTATCGTCGCTGCCAATGGGCTGGATGCCAGGAGCTGACCTCACTGCAAACACGGTCTCTCCTGCCACCAGAAGTCCACCTTGTGACTAAGGCCACCAGAAGGCTGGCTGAAAAACAGAAGCCTGTGCCTGCGTCTGCCTAAAATTTGATTCTGAGTTAAGAACTGTCAGGGCAGAACCCTGGTCACATGCCTGTGTCCTTGCCGCAAGGGGTCTGGGAACTGAGCTTTGACTATAAGGGGGAGGAGGGTGGGAGTTGGTTTACAGTTGTGAGCTGAGAATTTATTCTTATGTTATTATTTAGTAATTATTGTATTTAATTCCATACAAACAACTGTAACCCTACTTTTGCCCCACCCTGTACTTGGGAAGGCAGAACTCAGAGGGACTTTCTCAAAATGAAAAGCTTTCTTCATGTCCCTATGTCCTTCCTTGAAGTGCCATGTGGGGAACGTGGGGGCAGGTGAATGGGGCTGGACCAGCTCTGAGAGGTGCCCACTGTCTAGTAGAAAAGACAGGCATCCACATAAGTAACAGTGCAGGTGAATGGAGGGGTTTCCAGGCGCGTGGGTGGTCTCCCCACCCACTGCATGCTTACTTGCTCCAGGGCTCCAGATGAATTTCCTCTTCTATTTACCGTATTTTCCGGCGTATAAGACGACTTTTGAAACAAACAAACAAAAAAAGCCTGCTCAGATTGGCCAGAGTCCGAGAGGTGGTCTATTAAAAAAAAGAACTGATGTTGCCTCGGAAGTGGGGGGTAGACTTATATAGCGAATATAGGCCTAAACCTATGTTTTAACTGTAAAATTAGAGGGGTCGTCTTATACGCCGGAAAATACGGTATGCTCTATGTCTATGTATACCAGGGTGACTCTGTGACCTTCTTCCCGTTGGTGATGCAGAGCAGTGGAAAGAGGAGGGTCGGCCGACTTGGGGCCAAATACAATGCTCCCATCGACCACCCATGTGATTTTGGATTTCTTAATTTCTTGGAGTCTCAGTTTCTTCATATGTAAAATAGGGACAGTCACTCCTGCCATGTAAGGGCCAGGGTTCACATTAGAGGGAAGTACATAGACTGCTGGGTAGATGTCCAGATGAAGGTAGTTCTTTTACAGTGATTGGCGTGAGTGTGATGAGAGAGGGTTCTTTTTGTGGGGACTAGACCCAAGGCTTTTAAGAGGTAGAGGAAGGATGGAAGAGACAGGAGGGTCCAGGACCCATTCGTCTGGGAGATTCTGGGAATATCAAGACAGTCCTCTCCCTCTAATACCAGAGCACCCTTCTTCCGTCCCAAAAGGGTGTTTGGGGTTCTTTCCCCACAGTCCCTATGCAAGCAGCGAAGAACAGGCTTAGGGTTCTGAGTCATTGGCCTGAAGGCGAGCTCCATCCTGCAGCTGGGAATGCCCTGCTGATGGGCACTGGAGGTGAGGAAGTGAAAGCCGCCCGGAACGGGCGGTTGCTCACATGGTCAGGTCTCGGGTGTGGAGACAGGCAGGGGCAGGGTTAGAGCTGGCAGAGGCCACACTTGACCCTTCCTCCTCAGTCTCCTTTGAGCTCCTGTAAAGGGCCTGCCACAAGGTGACCTCCCAGGGTGTCTAACACTGATTGTCTGGAGGACGCCACAGAGGCAGGGCAGGGACAACATGGGCACATCCCCAGACATGTACAACTGGGGCATCTGGATCCCCAGCTGCTGGTGTCTTCCCTGGGTAGAGTCAATCTCTACTCCTTTTTCTTTCTTTTTTTAAAAAAATATATATTTTATTGATTTTGTACAGAGAGGAAGGGAGAGAGATAGTTAGAAACATCGATGGGAGAGAGTCATCGATCAGCTGCCTCTTGCACACCCCCTACTGGGGATATGCCCGCAACCAAGGTACATGCCCTTGACCGGAATCGAACCCGGGTCCCTTCAGTCCCCAAGCCGACGCTCTATCCATTGAGCCAAACCGGTTTCAGCTCTACTCCTTTTTCTTAAGCTCCCACCTGCCCATAGGGTCTGCTTCTCAGCATGGATCCAGAGAGGTGCCTCAGAACCCTCTCCTTAGGGAACGATAGCCTGGAGGGGATAATTTGGGGAGTAAGGAGAATGGAAAGGCTTTGGAGTCAGGCAGATTTGCTTTTGACCTCTGGCTCCTTCTCCCACCTTCGGAGTGACCTTGGGCAAATGACATTTAAATAATTTCTTCCACAGGGTTATTGGGAGATCAAATGTGATAACGTATGTACCTGCTAGAATTTCCTGCCTCAGAGTAAGTAGTCTGGACAACCATTTGTATCCTAACCTAATTCTCCATCTGCCCATTCCTCTCTCCTTCTCAGAGAACCAGAGCAGCTGAAAAATAGAATACCTGAGTCGATCCACAGGTGACAAGCAATGACTTAGAAAGACAGAGCTTTGAAGTGCCCTGAAAAAAGATGGGCATGATAGACACATTTGACGAATGATATAAATGATTCATGGCATGAGACTCAAGAAAGGGTTGGGGAGTTCTAAAAAAAATACAATTTAGACCATTCGATTCTAAATAATTCAATGAGGATTAATGTCTGAAGACATTAGGCTTAAAAAAGACAGCTTCAAAGAGGGAAGAAAAGATACAAGTAGCAGAAAACCCCCTTCAAGCTCCGTTAAACTAAAAGGGACTTTATTTCAAAGTATAGGGATAGGTCTGGTTCAGGTACGGTTTGATTCAAGAGCTAAGATGGTGTTATGGGACAGCACAGAGTCCACGCTGGCTCTGTTCTCTCACAGGACCTCTTCCCATGAGAGCCAGTTACTGACTTAGATGTGCCCAGTCCAAGTCCAGTAGAAGGTGGAGCTCAGCAGGCCTAAGAAATGTCGAAATGACCAAGTTGGCATCATGTGCCCAGTGGTGGGGTCAACACCAGCCTGGTCCATAAACTTTGAGCTGGAAGGGGTGACTCTCATGAAGGAAATTAAGCAACATTACAAAAAAAAAAAAAAAAAAAAGAAAGAAAAAAAGAGGAAGAGAAGGAGGAGGAAGAGGAAAAGGAACAGGAGGAGGAGGAGGAGGAGGAGGAGGAGGAGGAGGAGGAGGAGGAGGAGGAGGAGGAAAAGCCTGGCTGGCATGGCTCAGTGTTTGAGTGTTGAACTATCAATATTATATGAACCATGAGGCCACGGTTGGATTCCCGGTCAGGTCATATGCCTGGGTTGAGGGCTTGATTCCCAGTGTGGGATATGCAGGAGGCAGCCAATCAATGATTCTCTCTTGTCACTGATGTTTCTATCTTTCTTTTTCTCTCTGAAATCAATAAAAATATATCTTTTAAAAAGTTTAAAGAAAAAAAAAAGGAAGCAAGAAAAAAAAAAAAAAAGGGCACTGGGTGGTCCACAAAGCAAATGGCTCTCCTAGTAGGTGGGAGTAGACAGCTACAGGAAACATGCCAAACGAGCCACATCTTTCTAAAACATCAAGGATAACAGAAAGCGGTTTTGTGAAATTTACAGCAAAAAGAAACCCAGGAATAAAAGATTCACTACTTGGGTTAAAATGGTATATTAAATTTTTTTAAAAATTTGTCTTTTAAAACTTGTATTATTTGTTTCTAGTTTGTAGCACTTGGTCAGATAAGGCAACTTGTATACTTCCTACTATTTGGAATTCACTGGAGTTTGCTTTGTGACTTGGAATATGGTCAGTTTTGTAAAAGTGCACAGACACAACAAAGATAGAGTCTCTGTGGATATAAGTTCAATATCTATTAATTCAGGAATTAATGATACAGTTTGAATCTCTTTTGCTTTATTAAGTTTGCCTTCTTGATCTTACATGAGTTGAGACAAGTATGCTTAAGTCTTCCACTGTAATTGAATTTCTGTCAATTTCTACTCACACTTCTAAGAGTTTATGCTCAATGTATTTCAGAGCTATGTTCTCTGGTCCATTAAAGTTCATGGACTGGACTATGATTTCACTATTGATCATAACTTTTATCAATATCAAATGCCCTATTTAATGCACTTGGCCTTGAATTTTATACTGTTCATTTTCCATATTGCCATTCTCTTTCTTTTGGTTCCCATTTTCCTCATCTATTTATGCTTTAGGTTCAACAGAGCTAGAGAAGATGGCATAATGTCTCTAGGAATGGGTGGAACAGAGTTTTTTTGTCACCTGTTTTGTTCCTGTCTCTTCTCTTTGACAATACAAACATGGAATAGCAGCACACAATGGCGAGAAAGTCACCTGTAACTCACCTGGCTGCTCTGATCTTGTTCTCCTGGCTAAACAAAACTCATGGTCCCAGACACTTGCAGAGAAGACCCTGAGAAATTGCAGAGTGGGGAGTGTTCCTGAAGACAGGTGAGGTTGTGTGCCCTTCCACTTCTCAGAAGGGGAAGAATGCGGATTCTGAAACGATAGACCAGCACACTTTCTACATGGAAGATATCAAATGGATTACTATATAGAAAAGGAAGTGGATGTTATTGGACAATGGGTTTGCTCAGGACATTTCTTGCCAGAGAATACAATTTCTCTCTTTGACAGCTCTACAGCACTTAAGCAAGTTTTTCTTAAACTTTTATTTTAAAATTCAAGAAAAATGTAAAATGGAAAGAATAGCATAATGAACCCAACCTATCCATCTCCCAGCTTTGACAACTTTCAACTCAGTTTTTTTTTTTTTTTAACATTTTGTTTCACTTCCAACCACCCCCACTCCCTATTATTGTGAAGCAAATCCTGGACATTCAATAACTATTTCAGTGTGCCTCAGAAAACCGTAACCACAATACCATTATCACACCTGTATTAGCTGTCTGTTGCTCCATAACAATCACTACAAAATTTAGCAGCTTAGATTAATGGTGAGACATAGAGATTTGATCAGCTTCAGGTTAGGTTTCTTTTTCCTTTCTTTTATTTTTGGCAAAGTCCTGTACCATTTAGGGGTCCAGTAGGGAAAGCAGAAACCACAACACGCTGGGCCTTTCAGCAGAGGAGATAACTACAGGATGCAGTCACCATCCCTAAGGAGCAAGATAAGGGAATGAAGTTGGGAGGACAGAATTCAGAACTGAGGAGCATGGCCACCACCCAGCTGCTGCTGCTGGGTCCTCCAAAAGAGCACGATGAAGGGTCAGAATCCAGCAAGGAGTTAGTAAGTCCCTTCTCCCTTCCCCCTTCTCCCTTCTCCCTTCTCCTGTCTTCCAGTCTTCCCTTAGTGTCCCCATGGGCAGAGCCAAGCATGAAGTCAACTGGCAAAGGAGAAGGGTGTTTCTCAGAGAGCCAGCCCAGCATCTCAGAGCGGGGAGGGACAGGGGTTTGGAGCTGAGGGACAAGAGCTGAATGACTGACACCCCTCTGCATAGGAGTGTATATATTCATCAGGAGGTCCATTATGCTTAGATGATTCTCTTCTTTTATGTTATTATCTGCCATTGATGGTGATCTGCCATTAATTATACACTAATTCATTTGGGATTACAAAGCCAGCAAAGTATTTGACAAGAGACGTCATGATAGCCGCGTGGACCAGGCGGTGAGATAAGGAGTAAGTGGAAGCTATCTGGGTGGAGTAGTGTTTAGATGAACATATGCAGTGGTGATGAATGTGGCTCAATGTCTGCCCAGAGGGGGGTGCCTGGTGGTTGGGTTTTTGTCCTAGACCCTGCACTGATAAGCATTTTATCAATGACTTGAATGAAGATGAAAAGTATGTAGGGATCATTCAAAGAGATTTGTTGAGGACTGTATTGCAGGCTTTCTTTTTCCACATCATGGTACTCATGGAAATTGTTAATATTGTACAGTCCCCAGGGGAAATCAAAGAGATGAAATCACAGCCTAAGGTGACTGGCCTGGAATCTGGCTGTTCCAGGCTCTGCTCCAAGGACTGAGGGGATCAATACCTCAAAACCCAAGGGGTCAATATCTGGGCAACACCCAAACTTACCACAGTTCACTCATTTGGAAACTGGTCTGAAGAGGTGGGTATGGCCAGAATTCTGCCTCAGATCACAGAAGACTTCTCCCCTTGAGGGTTCCAAAGGAGGAGAGCAAATGGGAAGTTATATTACTGCTTTATTATTGTCTGTGTTGAGGTCTGAGCACCGAGTGAAGAGCTCTTTGAGAATCAGGTCTGGACCACATGAAGTATGCTATGCTTGAGAGTTAGGTGAGGTGAGAAGGAGCTGTCCCTTTTTTCAAGCCCAAAGTAGGCAGTCACCTAAAACCAGAGACAAAATGTGCCTGTTTCTAAGACACATCAAGAGACTGAGCCCCCTCCCATGCAAGAGAGGTTAGGACCTCTTGTTGCTGCAGCATGAGTGAGAGGAGAGGGCAGCACTTAAGACAGAGCAGAGGCTCTGGCTTCCTGCCATCATGAGAAGACACTAGGCTGACTAACTGATCAGACAACATGGATTAAAGAGGAAGAAAAAAGAGGTAATCCCATGTGAGTAACATTTTCAAATGCACTGTGTCCTGTGTCCATTGTTGTCTTGAAACCTGAAAGCTAATGATTAACTCCTTGTCCCTGGATGTGTGTGTGTGATTATTGGTTATCCACTGCTACATAACAAATATCCCCCAACATTTATTATCTCACAGTTTCTGAGGGTAGTTTGGCTCTCTCATAAAGCTATGATCAAGATGTTGGCTGGGGCTGCCATCATCTGAGGCTTGCCTGGGGTTGGAGGGCCCACTTTCATATTTACCCACTTGACTGTTGGCAAAAGGCTTGGTATCTTGCCACGTAGGCCTTTGCATGGGGCTGCTCAGGACATGGAGACCCAGATATATTTCACTTGGCAGTGAAATATTGTCACTTTGGTCACACAGACCAACCCTGGTACAATATGGGAGAGGATTATACAAGGAGGAGACCATTGTGGGCTACTTTGGAGACTGGCTACAACAGATGGTGAATAGGCCAATAGGGAGATAATACCCTAGAGCCCTAATAGGATATGACAGGCCCATCTAATTGCAGAAGACAGAGTTCTGGGAGGAATAATAAATTCTTCTCATGACAGAACCAGGATCTAAAAAGATCTTTGTGGGGTTGAGTGATGGATCAAACCTAACAAGATAAAACTTAACAGAAATAATGAGGGCTCTTGTAATCTCATCCCCAGAGAAGCAACCACAGCAGCAACTAAATCGGAGGATAGATCTTCAGTAGCAAATATAAAAATGACCTAGGTTTTAGCTGTCAGTAGGTACCAAATGACTCAACAGTATGGCATGGCTGCTAAAACTGCTGCTGTGGTCTGGGCCTCGGTTGATAGAAGAATAAGGAGGAGAGAGTTCTGTTTGACTCCAGTCTGGTCTGCCACTGAGTTCTACTGGGTGCCAAAAGGGAGATGAGCTGAGATATATTCAAAGGAAGGAGTCCAGGAAGGCCAGGAGATGGGAAACATTGTTCTAAGGAATAAGAGAGGTTGTATGAGATGTTTGACTTAGAGAAGAGGGATACTAGAGCTAGGGGATAGTAGAGCTCTTTGAGAATCAGGTCTGAACCACGTGGAGTCTGTTTTTTGAGAGGGATGAAGCTTGTTCTTTTCCTCCTCAGATGGGAAACAGAAAGGTAGGGTAAATGATTTAATTGTTAAACAATTAAAGCACTTATAGGATGAAAATGCTTGCTCAGGAAAGTCATGAGTGTCTAGTCACCGAGAGTGTATGTGAGCTGTGCAGTGGGCTTGCACATGTATGGAGGATTAGGTAGGATGACTTTTATGCTTCTCTCTGACCTTCATATTCCATGATCTTAAGGCTCCTGTTGAGACTAGAGAAGACCCAACCTCACAGCTTCACAGGGAGGACCTCTGGCTTTAGAAGGGTATGTGGTAAGCGGGGAGAAAAGAACCTTAAGCCAGGGGAAAGTGTGGCCCAAGTAGACAGAGAAAGACAATCATCCTCGGGGCTCCTCACATTCAGGCATGGGCCTCTCCCCTAGTTTAAATATCTTCTATCCTCTCAACTGCCTATCTAGTCAACTATGCATTTATTTTCCTGCTATGAGTGAAAGCCCCCTACTCCCAAGACATGAAGAAATAAGCTTCTTTAGTCACTGTCATATCACAAATCTTGATGATTGCCCCTTATCTTTGAGGCCTCCAACTACTGTTCTTAGGCCTGAGCTTACCCTGATAGTGTCCTTCACTGGCTGGGGCACTAGACAAGGGCAGCAGGTGGGGATTAGTTACAAAACCCCATAGTATAAAGAAGGGCCTTGTGTTGCCATTAACAGAAGCCAGTCCTGTCCCTCTAGATTAAAGGGTAAAGGGTGACATAGCCTGAGGTGGAACATGGGCTTGGCCTTCAGTGTAAGGAGGAAGACCTTCTCCCATCTTTGAGTTAGTCAAACTTATCCTTCCTCTTTACAGTGCTGGGACTCTTGCCAACTCTAGCAGACCCTGGTGCCCATGTGGCTGCTTAGCTCACTTGCTGATATCACCACCCTCACGTTTGTTATGAGCCATTGGTCACATCTGTCTTAATAAATTACAGGCATTGGCTATAAATCCAGGTAATAGTCCCCAAGAGCTGCCCCTCCCCACCTCCATATGTTATGTAGTGATGTTGGAAAATTTGCCCTCTAGATCACTTTACTTGCTAAGATTGCTATTTGGGTTCCTTCCTTGAATCTACCCAAGAGAAAAGGAAGAAGCAGGTGAGTAACCAGGAGGATTCACTTACTTGAGTGGCATGATGTTGAGAAAACATCACCTATTCATGCATCCATGCATCTATTGCAAATCACCCACCAACCCATTCATCATCCACAAATTCATGTATCTATGAATTTATCCATTCATCTTCCATGCATTTGTGCACCCACTCATCCACTTATCTGTCCATCTATCCATCATCCAGATGCCCATTTATCCATCCATCCATCCATCCATCCATCCATCCATCATCCATCCATCAACCAGGTGTTCATTCATTCAATCACCCATTCACATGTCATATATGAATTCGTTCTTCTCTCCACCCAACTGCCTATCTAGTCAACTATGCATTTATCCATAATCTATTATCCATCATGTCCACCAGTTGTAAATACTGATGTGCTGCTCAGATCCCCCCTGCAATGAAGGACTTGTTGCTCCAACCTCTAAGAGTGCTTGTGTCAACATCTTTAAAGGTCAATTCCTTCAAGAATTATCTCAGCTGCAGAGAGTTGCCTTTCCCAAGGTCATGTCCCTTCCCAAGGCAGCCCATACCCAATGACTTGGGTGTGTGTATAAGACCTAATCATCTTGGCCCATTAAGACAACTCTGAAGGACTAGAATTCTCCATGGTGGTGGCCAAGGCTATTGTTGAATTTGCATTGTAACTTGACTTCCTTTCTGCCTATCCTGCTTCCTTTCCCTTCTTTCCACAGGTGTTGATTTCAAGGGCATGCCTTAATAAACATCCTGCACAATAACTCTGCCTCAGCGTTTGCTTCCTGGGGAACTCAACCCATGACTCTGATATCATCCTTCCATTCATAAATGCATTCTTCTATTCACATGTCCTTCCATCCAATAAATAAATATTTACCTTATACTTGCTATTTGTATATAGTTGGGCATTATAAAGGATACAGCCATGAATCAAACATGGGTCCTGCCTTCAAGGAGCTCACAGTCCAATAGAAATGATTAAGTCTGTCCACCAGTAGCTCCCACAAGGGAGTCAGAATGGGGATTGGTCTATTCAGGCTGAGGGGATCAGGGAAAACTTCATGGTGGAGGTAGCACCTTAGATGGGCTATAAAGGGATGGAGGGATGGGAAATTGAATTTGGTTATGCAAAATTAGGATAGAAGTGTTTTTGTGTGTGTGTGTGTGTGTGTGTAATAAGAATGACTTGTACAAAGGCATTGGAGAGTATGAAATGAGAATTATCTACCTGAAGGGAAGAGGCAGGTATAACAACTGGGTGCTGTTGGACCTTGGATCATCTTATGACATCCACTTCCTGTGCTCCCCATCATTCCTCTTCCTCCACAGAGTCCTTCCTTCGCTCCCAGATCTTCCTCCCACCTGTCTCTTCTCTGTCCCAACAGGAAGCACAATTTGGTCAGCAGCCAAAGCTATGTTGTCTAGCCATGGGGAAAGGGTCTGGAGGCCACAGCTGAGAGAAGGGGAGGGTGCTTTCCTGGTTGTAGGGAAGAGAAGGTGATGGCATATTTGGCAGGCTGTTTTATACCCAAGGCTGCTCACTCCCCAGAAGGTTGCTTGTTCCATCACACTTTTGGATTAATAAGAAACCAGATGGGCTCAGCTGGTTGGTGAGAGTTGTGGGCTAATGAGGCCAAGGTTGCAGCATGATTACTGGAAAGGCCTGGAAGCTTTACACACAAATTCTGTTTACAGATTTCTGACCCAGGCACAGATGGTAACTTTGACCTTGGCCAGGTACATAGCCCCTCACCCCTGCCATTGATTGAGCTTTGACCCTCATCACAGTGTGAGCCTGTGTGTGGCTGCAGAATGAGCCCCTAACACCAATCAATCAATTAATCAACCACTTGACAGCTCTATATGGAAGAACTTCTTGAGCTGCTGAAAATGTGGGCATTTTTATTATTGCTCTAAGACAATCCACAGAAGGAGGGCTGTCAAGATATTTGTGTGTCAGGCATTTGAGAAAGGTCAGAATGAACCTGCCCCTCGTAGCAGAGGGTCATTGTTAGAGAATCAGCCTGCGGCCTAGAGAAGAGACAGGGCTATGAACCCTAAGAGCTTGTTCTCTGCACCCAAACCCCATATTCCATCACACTTCTAAGTGGCTCCTGAGCCCTATGTCATGAGAGCTGAAGGGGCCAGGGACCCTCCATCCATGGGAAATAGCAGGAAGCACTCCTGCCCTGGACTCAGGCAGGATCAGTACTATTCTGCAGCCTCAGTGAGAATCCCAGCAGCCTCTAATGGTTACCATGGCAACACTGCACAGGGAGGAGCAGGGCAGGCCTGACTGGGGATGGGAAGCCTGAGTTTCCAAGGCAGTGCTGTCATCTGGCTTACTGCATATTTCGGATCCCCGATGAAGATGGGGCAGGAGGACAAGCTGCTCAGAGATGACCCAGCCTTCCTGAAACCTGGGACCTCCAGCCTCAGAGCTGCTCGGACATGCCTAGGCTCCGGATTCTCCAGCTGCCTGGCTCTTGCCTTTCATAGGGTCTCTCACCAGGAGCCTGGTTGTGATCCTTCCTTTACCTGGATCCCTGTTCTCCTCGAAGGCCCCACAATAATTTCCCAAAGCTCCCACAGCATCTCTGACTCAGGATGCATCCCAAACTCCTCAGAAGTGCCCTGGTGCTCAGGATGCTGCCACAGAAAAATGTGAGAGGACTAAATGAGTTTGTACTGAAATTCAAATCTGATCGGTCTCTCTTCTGTATACAAATTTTCAATGGCTTCCTAGTGTCCTCAGGATAATTGCCAACCCTTTATCACTGCTTACTGGCTCTCGGCACCTAGTCCCTCTACCCCCTCATTTTCTTTCCTGCTGTTTCCCACCTCACTCCTGAGCTCCATCCACACAGGAGTCATGAGGGCCTCTGGAGGAGGCACCCTCTCATCCCGGGCCTTGGCCTGTGCTATTGCTCTCTTCATGGATACCTCTCTCTGCTTACCTGGCTGCCTTCCACTCTTCCTCCCTTTCTCAGCCAAGATGCTGTGTCCCCTAGGAAGCTTATGGCAGGTTGAGAGCCTTCCTTTGGGCCCAGACACAGTCCTCTCATTGAATCTCCGAGGTCAGTTAGAATTGCTCCTCTACTTGTTGTTTTCTTCCCCCAGGGGCCACACCCCCAGCATGCGGTTTGGGGGTTCCCGCAGGAAGTGCTTGATAATAGTCTTCGCTTGAATGAGTGAATGAATGAAGGGACCCCCCCCCCCCCCCCCTGCCTGTCCTTGGCAAGCTCTCCTGGGGGAGGTGGTGACAGGGGCAGACTCTAGCATCCCCTTGGGTCGAGGGAAGGCTGGGAAGTTGCTGCCCTAAGAGTGTTAATACATCAAGCTTCAGAGGCAAAAAAAGAAACACAACCTTAGGCAGCAGGTCCCCTCATCAGTAAAGAACTGGGAAACCACTGAATCATGGGCCTTTGGGAACTGGGTCAGCCAGTCCGGTCTGTCTTCTCCACGAACTGTGTCATGATTCAAAGGACCTCTGCAGACGGAAATAGGAGCCCAGGAGATCAAAGACTGCAGAAACATGGCAATGTGGTGATATGTTGGGATGACATGTTACCGGTATATGTGAAAAAGCAGAATAAGAATTTATACATGCCCCAGGCTACAGGTCTGTGACAATGTGTGCCTGGGTAGATGAGATCTGGGAGAGGGCACAAAGAGATGTGAGCCTTCTGCCCAAGGCAGAGGTCAGCAGAGACGGGGCAAGAGATAAAAAAGAAAAGAATTAAAGGCGGCTTTCCAGTTCTCAGGGGTAAGGGAGTTCACCAGCTTCTAAGTGGGAGGAGAGAGAAAGAAAGAGAGAGAGAGAGAGAGAGAGAGAGAGAGAGAGAGAGAGAGAGAGAGAGAGAGAGAGAGAATATGCCCTGTGCCTTGTTTCCCAACTTCTCAAGCCTTTCCCCTTTGACTGGCTTAGGGTTCTGTGAAAACTGCCCAGCCACCCAGAGAAGGCATTGCCCACAGGCCAGGATGTCCTGGGGTGGGACTCTCGGCAGCGTCAACCAGAAACTTCTCTGAATCCAGGCTCATGCTGGCCCTGGTCCTGCTGCCCTCATCTCCCCGAGCCAGGAGGAAGCAGCACCAGGTGGCTCCTCACTGTGGCCCTCCCTGAAGCTCAGCTCTGGGTTTCTTTCCTTCCTCACCCAGAGATGCCTGCATTCCTACCACCCACCACTATCCCCTTTGTCTCTGCTAAACATCCCTGCCCTCCACCCTCAGAGCATCCGCATCCACATCTACGGAATGTCTGTTCTGAGGCTCCTTTTCTCTCAAGAGCTTTCCCACCTTATTCCTGCCTCCAGCCCTGGCTGTCCTGACACCTTCACCAGATGTCCTTTGCCCCAGGGGAGCTGTGAAGGGATGGAGTCTATTCCATCCTAAGGAAGGCCTTGCTTCCTGCCCCTTTCTTCCTCCCTGAGCTGCTGATCTTTCCCCTTTCCCTCTGGACCCTTGAGAGCCTGAGCAAGGGTTGGCCTCCTTTTAGATTCAATAATAAAGTCAATGGCCCTTTGTTAAGTGCCCAGAGGGTAACTGCTGGCGTAAATAATTGTCAAGCAGCCCAGGGTGGGAGACAGGTGGAGATAGGGACTGTGTTCTGGGGAAGGGGTCCACTCTTCCGTAGCTACCAGAAGCCTAGGCGTGTGAATTATGATCCAGCCAGTTCCTTGCAGTGTGGGCTGGACTGGTGAGCAGCTGGTCACAGGAAAAGTTTTGGGGACAAGTTGTTTACTCTCAGAGGCCCTTGCAAGGGATGTGGAGTCTCCTTGGTTTTTCAAGACCAACAGTAATCTGTAAACTTGGATTTAAGAAAACCTGAACAAAAATTTCTCATCTGTGATAGCTCAAATATGCTTTAAGAAACAACCCGCAAATGGAAAATTTCAAAGTAACTTCTATTGAGAAATTACGTGCCAATAATAGCATTTAAAAAAAAAATCATATAGACCTGGACTTGAATCCCAGGTCTGCTACTGCATCCATTTGTTCTGCAAATAGATGCTCTTACTGAGCATCCCAAGTCCTGTAGGGACTGAAGACACAGTGAGAAGCAGCAGGTATGTTTCTATCTTCATGGAGCTGTGGGGTAGTCAAGAAACAAATACATGAATAAACTAAAAAAGTAATTTAGAAGAGTGCCAAGTGTTATGAAGAAAATTGTAATGAGTGTGGGTAGGTGGGAGGGTGAGACACCTTGGTGTGAGTGATGAGCTGTGATACTGAATAAAGGAGAATCCAGGCAGGAATGAGGGAGAGAAGCATTCCAGGTAGAGGGAACAGCAAAGCCAGTGACCCTGAGGTGCTGTCTGAGCTCTAGAAAGGTGGCCAACGAGGTTGGAATGGTGTGGAGGAGGGGCTCGGTCAGGCAGATCCTCATAGGTCAGAATGGGGTGGGCAATGGAAGACCTTGGAAGATTTGAAGGAGCCAGTTACCAGCTGGGTGTACCTGTGCCAGCAATTTATTCTGCCTGAACCTCAGTTTCTTTATCTATAAAGTGGGTATGATGCCAATCCCATATTATGTTATTGTTAGAAAACTGGGCAACCTGAGGCACACAGAGAACTAGAATGGGATCTTGCAGCAACTTGACAAATGCTAGTCTTCTTCCCTCTTTGGGCCGCACTTTCCCAGAAATGGAAAGAGTAGGACTCCGTGGTTTCTATGCCTCATCTAACTGGAACATTCTCAGTGCTATGGAAAGGAGAGTTCTAAAACTAAAATGTTAGGAACATCTCTTCAAAATGAAGATAAAGTGTCTTGGAAATTGTGTTGTAAATCATGGCTGAAATAGGATTCCATTTATAAAAATTAAATTTGAGTGCAATTTTCTCAGGAACACACACTTACTGTACAGAGTAAAG